ATAGATGAGTGAGTGCCTCCAGTGCTGCATCAGTTTGTTGAAAGATTTCAACTTGCATTTCATCAATTCCCAGAACCTTTTTCTTTACCAATGCCTTCTGTGCACCTTGGACTTCTTCCTTCGGTTTCATTACCTGTTGATCATATGCTACCTTTTGAAATGGTTGAACATCAACCATTTATTTTTGATACAGTCTAAGCTTTCAGACAAAGAGTAGGAAGGAGAGAAGGACCAAATATTTAGTCGCTGAAACCCATATAGAGTGGAACACTGTCAGCACCAAAGTACTGAAACATGATGAAGCGCACCAGAATATTGTCAGATATAGTGTATTCCTTCCATCGTCTTTTGATGCCAATCATTTAGTAGTTTCCACAGAGAGCCCCTCAGCTTTTCAAGCCAAGGCTTGAATTTTCTCATCTTGACAAACACTGAGCATGTTCTTCCCTTTGGGTTTTCTAATTCTGGGTCTTTGCACATTTCATTATAGTATTTGGCTTTGTCTTCTTGAGCTGCCCTTTGATATTTTCTATTTTACCTCCTGTCTTACATTTTCTTTAGCATCTCTACACTGCAAAAGAAGTTTCAGTCATTTCAGACATCTATTTTGGTCTTTTCCTTCTCGTCTTCTTCATGACCTTTTAATTTCTTCCTGTCTGATGGTCTTGATTTCATACCACAACTGTTTGTTTTCTTCTTCAAGTTTTATTGTGAATTGAGTGATAGTTTATATGTGAGAACATTGGTTTTACACTCATTGTATTTTGTTTCATTGCAACGTTTACAATCCCCTCCATGCATCATCATTCAAAAGTATTTGCTTCTATTCCCTCTGGGTGTTGGTTTTTTTTTACACTCAGGAACATATCATTTAAACAACCAAAGGGCATATTCTGCAAGCCTGCTTCCTGGCTGCCAGCACACAGCTTCTCTTTCCCTAAGTTTAGAGTCCTCAGCTGCTCTGTCTTTCCATGTCCTCATATCTGCCTCCATCTCTGGTGTTCTGCTTCTCTGGATAGGGTCCCACATTCTGCTCGTGCTCTTCTCTCTTGATGGTTCTAAGGCCCTCAGTTACTGGACTGTAAGATTAACTACTCCTCTCTTTTTGTTACACAACTTCTGCCTTTACAGTTGTGACAGTCTCAATTAGTAATGATAACAGTTATTCACTATTGAATCATAAGAATCATCTCCATCTCCTTTCACCAGACCCATCTAGACAAGATGAAAACTATTCAGTAGGGATTCTACCTTCCCCCACACCCTCTGAAACGAAACTCCCTCTTGAAAACTTGTAAGCCAGTCACTTCATGCCTTTATTGTTCCTCCGCCCCTCGCCTCTCCAGTTTTAGGTAGCCAATGTCTAAGTTGCCTATCCTGTCAACCCTGTCTACAAAGGGGATAGGATTGAGCCTTGATGTGAAGGTTCCTTCTCTCTCAGTTGGTATTTTGAGCTACTACATAAGTATAGGTCAAGTTCCTCAAATGACATGTCATACCACAACTCTTACGGTCTTTGGTTTTTAAGTGTCAAATGACATGTATACCGCAACTCTTACGGTCTTTGGGCTTTAAGTATCAAATGCACCAATCTGTTCTTCAGAGGATCTCTAAATTCAGGTGGGATATGTTCAAGGTCATATTTTGGCTCCTGTGGAATTGTTTTAAAGTTCAGCTCCTGCTGAACTTGCACAAGAGCAGTTGATGATCTGCTCCACAGTCTGCCTCTGGCCTTGTTTTGGCTGATGATACTGAGCTTTTCCACCTTCTCTTTCCACAGACGTCAATTTGATTTCTTTGTATTTCATCTGGTGAGGTCCATGTGTATAATTGTCTTTTATGCTGTTTAGAAATGGTATTTGCAATGAAGAAATCATTGGTCTTGCAAAATTCTGTCATGTGATCTCTAGCATCATTTCTATCACCAAGGCCATAGTTTCCAACTATGCATTCCAATCACCAGTAATGATCAGTACATCTTGATTGCCTTTTTGATCAATTTGACTGAAGAAGTTCGTAGAATTCAATTTAATCATTACTGGCTTTATGGTTGGTGCATATACTTGAATATTAATATGTCTTCCTTGTAGGCGTATGGATATTATCCTATCACAGACAATGTTGAACCTCATGACTGCTCTTGAAATGTTCTTTTTGATGATGAATGCAACATCATTCCCCTTCAATTTGTCATTCCCGGTATAGTGATTGTCAGATCCCAAATGGTCCATACCAGTCCATTTCAGCTAACTAATGCCTAGGATATTGATGTTTATGTGTTCCACCTCATTTTTGACAATTTACAATTTTCCTATGTCCAGACTTTGTATGTTCCATGTTCTGGTTATTAATGGATGTTTACAGCTATGTCTTCATTTTGAGTTGTGCCCCATCAACAAATGAAGATCCCGAAGATTTTACTCCTTTTGTGTTACTATGGTCAGCTGTGCTTGGAGAAGGTAGTTCTGCCCCAGTCGTATTTTGAGTGCCTTCCACCCTTCCAGTGCTATATATAACAGCATTCCGGGGCTCTTCATTGTAGTTCAGTATTCAGTATTCTGCTGTGGACAGTGTTCCACTGCTATTCATAAGGTTTTCAGTGACTAAATATTCAGAAGTAGTCAGTCTCACCTTTCTGGCAATGCTGCCTCCGTCTGTCTTTGTCTGAAAGCTCAGCTGAAACCTGTCCACCATGGGTAACCCTGCCAGTGTTTAAAATACTAGTGGCATAGCTTTCAGAATCACAGCCACACAAGCCACCACAGTGTGACAAACAGAGAGGCATGGTGGGTATTACTTTAAGTACTTGTATATCTGGATTCAGTTCTGGGTGGTGATGTCGTGTATGTTCATCTTGGGTTGTTGTCTGCTGTGGTTGCTTCTCAGTTCAGAGAACACCCTTTAGTAGTAATTGTTGTAAAGTTGGTCTGGCTATTAAAAATCTCTTTATTTTCTGTTTACCAGGAAATGTCCTTATTTCACCATCATATTTGAACGACAGCTTTGCAGGGGGTGTGATATTTGCTTGGCAGATGTTTTCTTTCAGAGTTTTGTGTATATCACTCCATTGCCTTCTCACCTGCATGGCTTCTGCTGAGAAATCAGAGTTTAGTCTCTGAGTTTTTCTCCGTAGGTAACTTCTCATTTTCTCCAAGCTGCTCTCATTGTTTCCCAGGAGTTTGGTTTTGGAAAGTATGATTATGGTATGTCTTGGTGAATTTGGGGGAGTCTATCCTGTTTGGGGTTTGCTCAGGTTATCTTTTCATCTTTCATGATGTTAGGACGTTTTCTTTCAGCAACTCTGATAATTTTCTCTCTGCTTTTTGTCTCTTCCTGTTCTGGAATTCCAACTACCCCTAAGTTATTCCTCTTCATGGTGTCCCATGTAAATCTCAGGCTTTATTCACATTTTCTCATTTTTTTCTTGGACTTTTCTTCTAGCTTACTAGTATTGAGAGATCATCTTCAAACTCACTAACACGAGTATCCGTTCACTCCTACTCCTTTATACTTTCAGAGTATTGTCCTAAAGTTTTCCTATATATTCCTTGCTTTCCTTGATCTTTCTGTCAGTTCATTGAAGGTACCTAAATAGCATTCCTTTGAATTCTTTTACAGTTAGTCCCATTACTGTTTCTCCCATAGAAACGTTTTCTGGCTCTGCATATTGGTCTTTTGTTTGAGCCATTCTCTTTTGTTTCTTCATGTGAACTAAGTTTGTTTTCTCTGGGATATTGTGGTGGTGTAGATGAGGGTGAGGGGCAGTCCCAACTCTGTTAATCAAGCGGAGTGTGGGGAGCAAGATGCAATCCCACCTTTTCTGTCACCTGTGTGCGTCTACGCCATTAGACCACCAAAGCTTCTTTCCCAAGTTTACTATGGCCACACTGCATCTGACCAACAGTCTGTCTCCTTCGATTGCCCATGCTCAGCTTCTCCTAGTAGGAACATGTCCCATCTCTGTAGACTTTCCTCTGAAGCTCAGGTTCCAGGCTTGTCCCTTGTCAGCTTCATTTGGTTCCCCATATCTTTGCTGTAGCGGGTCTGTGGAGCAGGTCTGCCGAGTGCACTGTCATGTGGACATCGGTGGTCTCCTTTGCTCACTGCTCTTGGGAGGGCAAGGCAAGGTACCCCCTCAGGGGCAGCTGCAACACTGCAGCCATTTGTTCCTGGCATACTGGGCCCATCAAGTTGGGTGTGCGTTTGGTGTGATTCCAAGTGACGTATGTGGAGGTCTTTCTGCTGATGGAACCTGGCAGGCCGCAGTGGCAGACCCTCTCCTGGTCGGAACTTTGCCTCTAGGTGTGTGGGAGAGCAGGCCATGCTGGTAACGCTACCTCAGTGACAGGAATTGTCCTCTCCCCTACCCAGACTCCACTGTCCGTCCTGTCTGTTCCATTTGACTCTGTGGCCACCACCTGGGGAAGTTTTTTCAACTTAAAACTAAGTCACCTCCCAGTCACCTCACCACACCTCTGACGGTCAGTGGCCACCTGGGGCTAGCGGCTGCGATGTTTTGGAGATTGTTTCTGTCATCTGGAATGTTCTACTGGGCAGCACTGAGTGAGAAGTGTACATGAAGTGTGTGTGAGGTCAGAATGTTTGCACAGCCTGGTGGTGGGCCCTCTTCACCACCTGTGTTTATGTCCCACCCAGACTGAACTTCCGGAGAAGAGAGACTCAGCCTAAAGCTTTATTGTAAGCAGTGCAGACAGGAGTGGGCAGTGTTTGGTTCTGTCGAACACAGGGTCGTCATGGGTCAGAACTGGTACAGCAGCACCCAACAACAGAGGTGCAGCTCAGCGAACCACCTCAGGCCCCATGGGAGGTGCCACCATATCCCCAAAGCAGGTGTACTGGAAAAGTCCTGAAGCCAGTATCCAGCCAACAAAGCCCAGCCCCCACCTCCTGGGCTCCCAGGGACACAGCCAAGGCTCCGCCGAGGCCGGCCGCCTCAAAGCTCAGGCAAGCTCAGGCCACTGCTCCTGGTGGGTGCCCACGGACATGCAGCCCCACATGGAGTCTCGTAGCAGGCAGTATGACGCTCGTCACATTGTTGCACTGGTTGGTGTTGTATGCCGAAAGTGGCTGGGCTGGCTCTTCCTCAGCCCCGTCCCCACACGCCCCCAGCTTCTCCTCACTGCTGCTGTGCGTCCCCTCCTCCAGGCTCCCGTCCTTCTCCAGGAAGCTCAGGCGGTGAAGGGAAGTGGCCCCTGCCGAAGACTGCAAGTCTGAGGTGTCCTCCAGCTCCGAGTCTGAGTCGTTAGATAGCAGGTGGGACCCTGAGGAAGTCCCGAGAGAGTCAGAAGAGAGATACAGGGGCGTTCCCGAAGTTCAAATAGAATGAAAAGGTTACGGAAGTGTTCTGATGCTCCCTTGTCCAGGAATGGAAAGAAACGGGCAGACACAGACGACTGGAGAGACTGAAGGAAACTGAGGGTAGGGCCCACACTCACCCCCCACTCACCTTGGGACCCATCCTCCTGCGGGGTCTCAGCTCCCACCTCGCCTGCCTCCAGGAAGTGCACCTGCGCCACCTGGTCCTGCAGGGTGAGTGGGGTCAGAGAGGCCAGGTCCCAGCCCCGCCCACACTCCAGAAGATCCCGAGCAAGGAAGGTAGACTGGGCAGCTACCCCCTCATCCTAGAACTTGTTCAACAAAAGCAGAATGTTCCAGTCTAGGCCCAGACAGGAGCACTGGGGGGCAGCCCACCGGGGAGCCTGCCCCTGACAGGACACCAGGAGAAACGGGGAGGGTTGGGAAAGGCCAGGGCCGAGCACTGTCGGAGACAAGCAGAACATCTCTCCGGAGAACGGTACTGTGCACGTTCTGGCTCGAAGAAACCGTGAGTGGGACAAGATGAGGCCTTGCTGAGCTAGGGTGCGCCTAGTCCTGACTGAGAGGTGCCTCTATTCATCAGAACAAGAGGCACACAGGGCAGATGGCCACCCGGATCGCGGGCTTCTGATACCCAGACTGAGAGGAAACCCTCCAGCTGTGGGACTCCATCACCATGGTCCCAGGACACTCGGGGACCAACGAACCAAGGGGGTCCTCCCAGAGGAGGGACCTAAATCACCTCAGATTCCAACCTGGGTGGAGAGAGAGTTCAGACAGTGTGCCCGAACCCGGCCTTCCAAAGGCCCTCGTCTGCCCTCCTGCCTCAAGTTCCCCACCTATCTGGTGTGGACAGCCCCGGGACACTCCCACCGATTAAGTGAAACCCCAGGTCAGGTGGAAGGTGAGCTCATGCAGGGCCTTGGGGTGGAAAGAGGAAGGGGGTCGGCCCTGGCTGGGGGCCTTCCCGCCCCCCAGTTCCCGCCTGTGGTTCCTTGTGTCCGTCTACGTTCTACCTGCGCTGCAGGTGCCTCCTGAGACTCATCCTCAAAGACCAGGGCATAGTGCGAGATGAGGGTCTCGACAATGCGCGCCTGGTGGGGGTAGTCCACCAGAGACGAGAGCGACACGGTAGCCTCGGTGGGTCGCGGGCGTAGCAGCGTGGGCCCGAACACGATGCCCAGGTTCCCCGGCGTCATTTTGTTGGCTTGTTCCACCTGCACAATTCTGGGGGAGGGTGGTGGACTGAGCGGTGCCCACGGACCTGGCTCCCCCCTACCCACTGGTGGCTCTGCAGCGTGGCCCCGGGGCCCTCACCTGCACAGGTGCCGTAGCAGGTACTGCAGCGTGGCCCTGTTCTCCGGGGGCAGTTCTCGCAACAGCTCCCGCAGCCGGCAGGCCATGGCCAGGACCGCCGCCTCATTCCCAACGCTATCGGGCCGGCCCCGGGACGCTGCCTTGGCCTCGGCCTCAGCCTTCAGGCTGTCCTTGGCCAGCCCCACGAGCTCGTGGTACAGGCGGAAGGAGAGGAGCGGTTCAGGCAGCTGAGGATGTAGTGACCTGTGTCAGGGGCCCAGCGAGCAGAGGCCCCGCCCACCCATCTGTGCCACACCCCCACCATGCCTCCTCTGCACCCCAGGCCGGCCCCGCATGGCGCTCACCTGGCGCAGATAGAGTTTGAGCACATTGCTGATGTCGTGGGGCGAGGCCTGTGACAATTCCACCAGCTCCTGACCGTTCTCAAACGCTTGGCACAGCTTCTCCACGCGTGTCTTGACCCCATTGACCCGGTAGATGCCCTGGGGTATGGGTGGGGCGCCATCAGCCTCCGCCCTCTGCCCTGCTTCCAGTCCCGTCCCTGCCGGTCCCCACCGCCCCCCATCCGTACTGCGAGGTCACCTTGGTACTCAGCGCCCTTCGCTCGATCTCGTCCACACATTTCTTTATGACAAAGGGCACACCGTCTGCTGTGCTGCGGGCCGCCCGCCCAAAGTCCTGGCCGAACAGCTGCAGCCGGCCCTGGAGCTTTTTGCCGCCACACTGGATGGCCAGCGTCTCCAGGCACTTCTTGTGACAGGCCAGGCAACACTGCGGGGACACGGGGACGCTCTGCAAACCCTCAGGCTGGGCAGCTGGACGCCCCTCTCCTGAAGAACCACACCGACACCCTTGTGCGGCGCCCCCCACACCCCGCCATCAGACCACCTCCCCTGAAGTTCCCCACGCCCACCTTCTCGCACTCAGCGCCCTGAAAGTACACGTAACTGTTGCACTCGCGGCACTTGGCGGGCGTACGCAGCTTGCGCAGGTGATGGGTCCGAGCGGCCTTCGACAGTCCGACGTTGCGGAAGGGCCCACTGGGCACAGCCACGGGCAGCGTGGGGGCCATGCCTTCGAGGTCACCTGGAGCAAGGGGAAGTGGGCAGGAGGTCAGCGTGTCCTGAGGCCAGGCTCCTGGGTCCCCAAGGCAAGGCAGAGCTGTGGCCAACTCCTCATCCTCTTCCCTGGGCAGTATCCCTACCCTGCTCGAAGGCTGATGTCCCCGGGCCGCTTTCCTGGTCCAGCTCTTCGCTGGATGACATGGTACCACTGGATGAGGTCTGCTCGAACTTCTTGAAGTCCCCTGAGCAGGTAACAGGGCATCAGCTCTCTCCATCCCGCACACACCTGTCTCTGTACCCCTACTGTGCCCCAAACAGCCCTCACCTGAGGGATCCAGGCCACTGTCTGAGTCGGACACCGAGGTGGGCCAGGACTTGTGCACCTGGTGTCCACGCCCACCTGGGGGTACATATCTCTGTGAGGGGCAGCGAGAGGCAACACCCATTCCCCCCCTCCCTATCCCCATCCTGCCTAGCACTCACCCCGCTGCTGCTCCTTGGCCAGCACCCCTTCCTCAGGCGCACCAGCATCCACGCCTGCCACATCACTGACGTTGAAGCTGCCCTTGCGCGCGCGCATCTCTGGGGACCTGAACGTACACCAGTGATGGACTGTGGTGGACAGCCTCACAACCAGCCCTTAGAGGTGGGAAGTCGGCTCCCTGCATGACTGAATCATGTTCCCCAAAACGGTATGTCAAGTCCTGGCCCCAATGCCTGGACCCGGGCACGTGGCTGGAAATAAGGGTCTCTAGATGTTATTGTTAGTTCTATGATGGGAGCAGGGCGAGCCCGAAGCCAATGACTGGGGTACACAGAAGAGAGGGTCAGACAAATCAAGGCAGCAGGAAGACGCCATGGACTGGTGTAGCCACAAGCCAAGGGTCACCTGGGGTCCCCAAAAAGCTGGAAGAGCCCAGGAAGGACCTCCCTTAGACCGTTTGGAGCGATTGCAGCCCCGTGGACACTCAGAATTCAGCCCCCGGCCTCCCGAACACGGAGAGCACGCTCCTATTCCTTAAAGGCCCAGCTGCAGCGAGGCTCTGGCGGCCCGGGACCCTCTCCCTGGGGGCGGGGGCAGGGGCCGGGTACCAGGAGTTGGAGGAGACGTGGGGTTCAAAGTCGTAGTGCACATCGGGCTCCTCGCCACGCTGCAGTTGGCGCACATGGGACGCGTATTGCTGGCCCGGGTCGTACAACTTGCTGCTCTCAGACAGCATGTGGAAGTTGACTGGCAGTTGCGCCGTGTGCGCATGCATCAACTCAAAGAAGGTGATGGTAGCCTGCAGGTCATTCATGGTCAGGGGGTGGGCCTGGTGGGGCGTGGTCAGGGGCACCCGAGCTGACCCGCCCCCTGAAGCCAGTGGCACCCACCGACTTGATGGTCTGGTCGCTCTGTCGCACGACCTCTTGCAGCTGCCGCAGCGCCGTCACCTTAGTGTCCTCCAACTCTTGCTTCTGCGTCTTGGCATCAGCCACCCACGTGCGGTATGTGGCCATGGCCTCCTCTGCCTGTTGGAGACCAGGCCACACAGCGCCTCAGCCAGGCCCATCTGGGAACCTCAGTGCTGAGCCAGGTAGGAAGGAGGGTGTGGGTTGGTGCCCCCCCCACCAAAAAAACACGTGTGCCAGAACCTCATAAGGTCAATTAGAACAAGGCTGAGTGGACAAGGGTCCAGGAGGGTTGGGCCAGTGACTCCAAGATGGTGGGGATTTCAGCTGTCACGTGAATAAGTGTGGAGGGGGTGGGAATGGAGCTACGTGAAGTGATGGAGGGACTTGAGGGAAGAGTCAGGACAGAGGGGACAGCAAGTGCAAAAGCAGGGACTGTGGGGGAAACTGTACCCAAAATGGACCTTGTTTAAAAAGGGTCTCTGCACATGTCATCAGATGGCGGCATCCTGGAGCAAGTGCGCCTACCCCAGTGATCAGTGCCCAAAGAACAGAAAAACACACATGCTGGCGAGGATGTGGAGAGACTGGGACCCTCCTCCACTGCTGGTGGGACTGGCCAAATGGTGTGACCACTGTGGAAAACACTATGAGCTGCCTCACAAAAGCTGAAAATAACAACACCATATGGAGTCCTGGTGTGGTGCTGTGGGGTAATGCGCCAGACTGCAAAGTGGTTTGAATTGCGAGGTTGGTGGTTCTTTTCACCAGCTGCTCTTCAGGAACCCTATAGAGGGTCGCTATGGGTTGGAATCGACTTGACATCACTTAACAACAACTTGACATTCACCAAGAATCCCTCTACTTGGTATATATCCTAGAGAAATAAGAGCCATGACAAATAGATACATGCCCACCCTTGTTTACCCCAGCGCTGTTCGCAGTAGCAACCGAAATGGCCGTTACAAACAACAGGATGAACAAAGTGCAGTTCATACACACAGCGGGACCCTTCGCCACAGTGCAGAACACCTGGTTATGGATTGGATCAACCTAGAAGTCATTATGCTGAGTGAAACGAGTCAGTTACCAAAGGACAAATATTGTATAAGATCACAATTGTAAAAAGACAACCCCCAAAAGTTTACACAATGAAAAAGACCATTCTTTGATGGTTACCAGAGAGGGGAGGGGAGGTAGTTGTTAAGTCGGTTCTGACTTTGTGGTTAGCAGTCCAGTGCTAATCCTACAGCACCACACCAGGAGTCCAGTGAAAGATACAATTCTTTAATGGGTCCCAGGGCAGGGAGGGGAGGGGAGAGTATACAGTGTGCATTTGAGTAAACGAGAAAGGAAAGAAACAAAAAAACACAAGGGATGCAAAAACGGAGCAGACAGCTTGTGAGGGCAGAGGCAGATAGGGAGTGAGGTGGTCACAAGCCCACCTGAGGACAGAGAAGCTGGAAGAAACAAGGAAGGTCCTTCCCCTAGAGCAGAGGTGTGGAACATCTGGCCTGTGGGCCACATAAGGCCCACAGAGTGATTTGCTCTGGCCCTTCCAAGCAACCAGAGTTCCAGCCATCACATCATAGCAGACTCATTTTTAAGTTGATCATTTTGTCTGAGTTAAGTGCTGTGGAGTCGGTTCCAACTCATAGCGAGCCTGTATAGGGCTTCCGAAGCTGTCAATCTACGGGAACAGGAAGCATCATCTTTCTCTCATAGAACCACTAGTGGTTTCAAACTGCTGACCGTGAGATTAGCAGCCCGACTTGTAACCACTTTGCTACCAGAGCGCCTTAATTTTGTATAGTCCACAAATCATGTTATAAATATCCAAATGGCCCTTGGCAGAAAGAATGTTCCCCACTGCTGCCTTAGAGCCTCTGGATTCCGACTTCTGGTTTCCAGACTGAGAATAAGGCTGTGTTTGCAGCTGTGTGTGCAGAAGGCCTTGCTTCATGGCCCCAAGACCCGCACCCCCGCACTCACCTTGTTCTTGGCCTCCTCCTCTAGCCGCCGCCGTTTGTCTAGGTTCTTGGAGGCAGCTCCACCAGCCCCTGGCCCGCTGCTCGTCTGCTCCTCCTCGGCCTTGGCCACCAGCAGGCGCGCCTTGTCGTGGTCCTCACAGCGCTGCATGTAGCTCTGCTTGGCCTTGCGAAGGTTGGCCTCAGCGTCTTGCTGCAGGGCCCGAGGGAGGGGTCAGGTCAGAGTTGACCTCCATACCAAACAGACAGACACCAAGCATGGGTCCTCCACCACCCACCTCCCTCCCACTGAGACCCCACAGCCCAGCAACAAGGTGATGCCCAGGATGGGGTCCAGGGGCTTGCGGCCAGACAGGTCCATGGTACAGCCCAGGAGACTGAGGCCTGGCTGAGCTCTGGGCCGTCCCTCCACCCACCTGGCCCCTTTCTCCTCCATTTCAGAGGGTACCAGCTACCCACTGGGAGTCAAGCATCCTTGGGGTCAGCAGGGAGAGTTCAGTAGGATGGCCTCACAGCCAAGGGCAGATTACTCAATAGGCAAGGCAAACATGGGTCTAAGTGTGCCCGGAGTCGTGGTGTGGCGCTGTAGGATAAGCGCTGGACACAGTTAACAAGGTTGGCTGTTCAAACCCACCATCCACTCCTTGGAGGCCCTATCTATACAGGGTCACTGTGAGTCAGAACCAACTGGATAGCACTGTACAGTACCAACGTGTGCTTACTTACTCATCTGTAGTGAACAGTTTCATGATGTGGTAAAGCCCATGTGAAAGTGTCCATTACAGATGAGAAGTAAGCACAAGTCAGCCTGTGCTTCCCTATCAGGGCGTTTGGATCTCTAGGAAGATGCTGTGGGGTTGGCAGGGAGAGAGATGCCAGCCAGAGCTGGAAGCAGAATCTGTATTGTGGTGACACAAATGTGAACCTGATCACTACAGCTGAGGAAACACATCGCCTTGCTTACTGCTCATAGCCTGAGCTGTCCAAGGCTCAGGCATAGTGACAAGGACTCTGAGAAGCCCTAAGGAAGTCCTAGGGAACCGTCCAAGCGTGCCTGAGTCCAGAGTCTGAAAACAACAGTCAGACACCCACAGCCATTCTTGTTAGCATCCCCGTGAATAATCAGCTACTCCTCCCCACCAGGTACAACTAGGAACTCAAGTGCTAAGAGTGGAAGGGGTCCCCACTGCCTGTCACCTTCCTGTGACCACGCACGCACCGTGGTTGCCTGGCGGTTTGGACGGATGAGCACATGGACTAGTTTGCTTCTGCCCAGCACATCCCCTAGCAGCTGGCGAGCCATCGGCAAGTCCCTGGGTTCTTGCCCTGAGCACGGATCAACGTTCCCAGGCAGCCTCTGCTTAGCTAAACACGTGCATTCACGGCACCTGGCCGAGCCCACTATTTCTTTTCTGTAGCACAAGTGGGACGGTGCTGAGCATCTCCTGTGTTGTCTGCTGCAGGGAGAACCCGATGAGCTCAGGGACCAACACCCACTATTGGAGCTGACTTCCTACAACAGAAAGAGTTCTACCAGGAGCTTGAGGGAGTTACGTCTCATTGGCGCCTCAGCACCTGCAAGCAGTGGAATGGGCTGATGTTTTGGGATCAGTGCTCCTGAAGGCAGGCATTCATGTGCTCTCCGCCGTCCTCCAAGAGGTGGGTCTCTTACCCAGGAGATGGTAATAGTTGTCATTAGCTCGACACTAACCAGCTAACACAAGCTATCTATCCACAAACCAAATGAACCATCAAGCTTGAGGGAAAGGCTGCTTCTCACATCCCCAAGGTCTGAGTTCCATAATATGTAAAGATCTCTGGCAAATCAATGACCCAACCCAAAGCGAGCGAAGGAGGAGGGGTGCACAGTGGCACCAGACGTAGCTCGTACACGCCACAGCCGTTTCATTGCAGCACGGAGGTTCGGCAAAGTGAGGGCACAAAGCAGGTCACAGACGTGATGTTTGTAGCAATAACAGCTCAACAAGCAGAATGCCATCCACAGAGGGAAGGAAATCAGGCTTGGCCCTTGCTCTGCAGAGAGGAGCATGGCCTTCTGGGTAAGGAAGGAGGGTTACATCCCAGGAGCAGAACGGGAGAGAGCGGGAAAGGGGGTCAGCGTATGTGCATATGTGTGGGCATCTGCTGGAAAGACTCACAGGACCCCACAGAGAGAGATGTGGGGCAGGAGGGGGTTTCTCAGAACCCCAGAAAAAAAGCAGGGACGATGCTACATTGTTGCGCCAAGAGGCATGAGGGTACCACGCAGGACAAAGTCCCACAGACATCATTCTCCCCATTCCTGAACCGATGATGTCCAGTGCTGGGAGCAATGGGCCCAGAAGGTCCCAGACCGACCGCACCAGCGAGCGTGACCACCCCAAAACCAGAGCCCACCAGCACGCCCTCCCACCTGCCTTACCAGCTTTCTCTGCGCGCGGTGCCACGCCTCCTTGATCTCCTTCCTTCGCTTCTCATGCTCCTGCCGCCGCTGGGTCAGGGGCTTCGGGGAGGGGCCGTGAGTGGAGCCACGCCCATCACCAGTACCTAATTGCAATCGGCCCGCCCACTTCCCAGACCCACCCGCTGCTAGACCGCCAACCCTCTTGCTCCTGCACTCATCACTCGGGTGGCCCACCCAGCCCACAACCCGACAGGATCCCACCTGCAGCCTATCTCCGCCTATCTCATGCCCACGCCCACTGCATCGTCCCGCCCCTTCCAGTCGACCCACCAGCAGAAAAGTTTGTGTCTGTAGAGTACCGGTCGCCTGTATCATGCAGTGGCCGAAATCCAGGTCCTGCTCCAGCGCCACTGAGTAGATGGACAGCAAGGGCATGTGGGGCTGTGGAGACAAGGCGGTCATTGGGCACGCACGGCCACACCTCTTCCCTCATCCCGGGACTCACTCCCCAGCCTGAGAGACTGGTCCCGGACCCTCACCTCCTGCATGACACTCTGTCTGCAGTTGTGGACGAGTTTCTGCAGACCTTTGGAGAACTCCAGCTCTAGGGGGGGCGGGATGGGATGGGATGGGTGTGAGGAGTGGTGCCCAGGGAGGGAAGGAGCCCGCCCCCAGGCCTGCCCCACCCGCCCCTCACCCAACACAGTGCGCTTCTCCAGGTAAACAAGGACGTCCTTCATGTACTTGGCCATGTTCTTGGCGTACTGGAGCGCTGCGTCCACACCGCCTTCACAGCGCTGCAGCAGCATGTCCACCTCCTCGGGGGGCAGGCAGCCTGCGGGGGATCCCCACTCAGCCTCCTGCAGCTGACCATCTGCCCAGTGCAGTTTTCTACTCCTCTGCCTACCCGGCCCTTAGCTCTCCCCAGCCGGTTTTCTGCTGCCTAGCCGTCTGCCACCTGGTGCCCACTCACCCTCACCGCAGTCCTCAGTGCTGGGCGGCGTGTCCTCATCCCCATGCCCGTACAGGTGTTCCATGGCCTGGGCAGGACGGGACAGGTGAGGCCAGTCCGTAGGGGACAGGGAATGCTCACCACCCCTCTGGACACCCGACCGAGGCACATGGGGAAGCTGGGTGGCTTCTCAGGCCCTGCCAGCCCTGCTCTGTGCCTCATCTAGGCTCCCCTGCCCCCACTGCTCACCTGGCTCAGGTCTCCGAGGGGCACGGACAGAAGAGTGCTGCTGTCCACTTCGCCCATGAGGAACTCGGACACGCTGCAGTGAGGGGGGCAAAGTCACAAGATGATGCCCCTGCATCCTACCATCAGCCCCACCTCCAGCCACACTCACCTGCTGCTGAAGGAGACAGCAATGGTCTCTAGAGCCATCTCAAACTCCCGCTTGTCTGCCTCATTGTTGCTTTCATAACGGAAGCCTGGAAGGCAAAGCCAAGGAGGAGACATTGGTCCTCTGTGAGGTGACCACCCTGCAGCTAACCGATGGTAACCCTGAGTGGGGGAGCATCAGGGAGCAGTCATGTGGTCGAACTCCTATGCATCCTTCAAAACCCACTTTGATTTTAGACCAACAAAAAAATAGCATAAAACCCACTCAAAAGTGGCAGCTTGCTTTTTAACACTTTAAAGAGGTCTTTTGCAATAGATTTGCCCAAAATATATTGTTTGACTCCTCGACTCCTGCCCCCATGGGTGTTGGTTGGTTACAGATACAAGTAAAATGAAATCCTTGACAACTTCAATTTTTTCTCCATTTATCATCATATTGCCTGTTGGTCCAGTTGTGAAGTGTAATTCATACTGAAGGCTGTGTTCTTTGATCTTCATCAGTAAATGCTCCAAGTCTTAAGTCTTCTTTCCATTTAGCAAATAAGGTTGTGTCATCTGCATCTCACAGGCTGTTAATGAGTCTTCTAATCCAATCCTGATGCTGTGTTCTTCATAGAATCCAGTGTCTCAGAACATTTGCTCAGCATACAGGTTGACTAAGTTGGTGAAAGGATATAACCTTTCCTTGTTTAAAACCCCTCGTTCTGTTTCAACAACTGCCTCTTATCCTCTGAATAGATGCCACAAGAGCATAACTAAATATTCTGAAATTCCCTGTAGTCTGTTACGATCCACACAGTGGAATGCCTTTGCATAGTCAATAAAACACAAAGAGACATCTTTCCGGTATTCTGCTTTCAGCCAATATCCAGCTGATATAAAAAATGCTCTGAACTCATCTTGAATTCTGGCAGTCCCCTGCCAATGTACTGCTATGACCGTTTAAAAATGATCTTCAGCCAAAATTTTACTTTCATGTGATATTAATGAAATTGTTCAATAACATCTAAATTCTGTTGATCACTTTTCTTTGGAATGGGCACAGATATGGCTCTCTTCCAATTGGTTGGCAGGGAGATGAGTGAGTGGCTTCAGTAGCATCCATTTATTGAAACATCCAACACTTCCCGGAGCCTTCTTTTTACCAATGCCTGATGTATGTTACAATATAGATGAACTCTGACAACATGATGCTGAGTTAAATCAGCCAGACACAAAAGGACACGTATTGTATGTTTCCATTAATATGAAACAGCCGGCATTGACAAATTCATACAGACCAAAAGTGATTAATAGTTACCAGGGGCTGAAGGGGCCGGAGGAAGAGGGTGTTTTAGCTAGGGGGCTCTGAGCTTCTGGTACTGGTGGTTGGTTGAATGTAACATGAATGTAACATGAATGTAACCAACGCCACTAAACTGGACATGTAAAATGTTGGATTGGCAAATGTCTTGTTACATATGTATATAAGTCCCCAAAGCAAATCCAATGCCATATAGGTGATTATGACTCACAAGAGACCTAACCAAACAGAGCAGACTGTTCATTAGCTCACCAGCTGCTCCTCGGAAACCCTGTACAGGGTCGCTATGGGTCAGAATCGACTCGATGGCACTCAACAACAACTTTTAGGGAAGTAAACCACCATGCCTTTCTCCCATAAAACAGGTGGTGGTGGTTGTTGTCAGGGGCTGTCAAGTCAGTTGCAACCTTATTTATGCAAAGCAGAATGAATCACTGCCGGATCTCACAGGAGCCTCACAATCACGGATACCTCGAACCGTCACTCCTGCCGCTCTGCCAATCCATCACATGGGGGGTCTTCAGCTTTTCCGCTGTCCCTACACTTTACCAAGCATGATATCCTTCTCCAGGGACCGGTCCCTCCTGATTATATGTCTGAAGTATGACAGACAAAGTCTCGCCATCCTAGCTTGTAACAAGCATTCTGGTTTATGTCTCCCAACACAGATTGGTTTGCTCTTCTGGCAGTCCATGATACTTTATTCTCCTCCAACACCATAACTCAAAGGCATCAATTCTTCTAAGGTCTTCCTTATTCGCTGTCCAGCTTTCACATGCATAGGAGACATATGAAGAACGGATGTTAAGTACCGTGGAGTCGGTTCCAACTCATAGTGACCCTGCACAGGGTTTCCGAGACTGCAAATCTTTTCAGGAGTAGAAAACCTCATCTTTCTCCCATGGAACAGCTGGTGGTTTCGAACCACCGACCTTGAGGTTAACAGCCCAATTTGTAACCACTACGCTACCAGAGCTCCTAATGAAGAACGGAGAGTGGTTAACAGCCAAATGCTTCTTCACTGCACCCCCAGGGCTTCTCCTGATACAACTATAAAGCCCACTCCTGTCAAGTCCATTTCAGCTCCTGGGAGAACTGCCCAGAGCGTTTCCCAGCCTGGACATCTTTGCCGAAGCCAACAGCCACATCTTTCTCCCTCGGAGCGGCTGGTAGGTTCAAACCACCGACATTTCCACTATCAGCCCAATGCCTGTCCCACAAGGCCACCGGGTCTTGTATATAGATATAGACAGGAGCCCTGGTAATACAGTGGGTTAAGCATCATCTGCTATCTAAAAGGTCAGCAGTTGGAACCCATTAGCTGCTCCTTGGGAGTCTGGTTCTGTAAAGGTTTAGAGTCTCAGAAACCCTATGGGACAGTCCTACATATCCTATAGGGTCACTCTGTGTTGGAATGGATTGCGTGGCAGTGGGGGTTTTTTATAGATACACCAAAACCAAAACACACTGTTATCGGATTGGTTCCCACTCCTATCAATCCTATATAGGGTTTCATACACTGTAAATCTTTATGGAAGCAAACAGCCTCCTCTTTCTCCCCATGAGTGGCTGGTGGGTTTGAACAGCCGAATGCCTTGACACCAAAATGCCTTTATTATATATAGATATATTTTTTGTTTTTGTTAAGTGCCGTCCAGTGGGTTCTGACTCATAGTGACTCTGTATAGGGTTTCCAAGGAACAGCTGGTGAGTTTGAACCGCCATCCTTGTGGTTCAAACAGCCCTTTCAGTCCCATGCTTATCATACCTCATACTACAGCAGATATATATTAGAAATGAATAAATAACATTTATTTATTTAATAATCTCCCCTCAAAAAGCCTAATTCAAACGTCCCCTCCTCCAGGAAGCCTTCCCTGGCTCTGTCCCACTCACCTTTGACCTTGTTGATGAGGTTGCCAGTTGCTGTTAGGGTCTCCACTGTGTTTAGCAGTGGGTGTCTGCTGATGACCTGTCGTAACACACGCAGGGCCTCATTCAGGCTCTCGGACGCCATTGGCTGGCGTGTCTCCAGGAGGTCTGAGGACACAGTGGCAGGGAGGGTCTTTAGATGGGGAAACTGAGGAAGAGCTGGGTGTGGGCGGCCGCCCGGGACTCACGGTGAGACCTTGGGTAGCACAGTCTTTCTCTGGGCTCAGATTGCCCATGCCCTGCCTGTACCCCCAAAAGCAAACTCCTGATTGTCTCCTATACGGCTGTGCCCCTCTCCATGCAGCCCCCTGCCCCTGCCCTCCCCAGGCCCTAGGGGGCTGTCTAGCTTTCTCCCCACCCCACGTGCCTAACACCATGTTATCTCACAGCCCTGGTAGTACCACATGAGGCAGTATGTTCATCACTCCCACTTTGCAGACACTGAGGCACAGAGAGGGGAAGTCACTTCTCAAACGTCACACAGCTCCTCCGGCTACATCTGACCCCAAGCCCAGGCCTATCACTACATGCCAAACGTTCTTAGCTGGAAAAAGGTACAAACTCTGTACCGCCACGGAGGAGCCAGAGTCACTGGGCTGCCCAGAGCGGGGGCATGACCGGCCCGGCAGGCAGGCAGTCAGTGTCGGAGCCAGCAGGTCAGTGGGCCCAGTGGCCAGCCTGGAGAACAGCTTTGACCCCTCTGTCACCAATCTGTACCTCCTATAAACCAAAAAAATCCCAACCACTGGCAATTCTGTGTGTTGCTGTGTGCCACTCAGTGAGTTCCGATTCATAGTGTCCCTGTATAGGGTTTCCGAGGCTGTCAATATTTATGGGAGCAGAAAGCCTCATCTTTCTCCCACAGAGTGACCAGTAAATGAAGCCTGCTGACCTTGTGGTTAGCATCCCAACTCTGACCCCACTACACCACCGGCATTCCTTATAACCACCCTACAGGCAGAAGAGAACTGTTTCTCTATGGAAGCAGAAAACCTTATCTTGGTCCTTCAGAACAGCTGCTGGGTTTGAACCGCCAACTTTGCAGTTAGCAGCCTAACATGCAACCCACTGTGTTGCCAGGACCCCTTGTAGCTGTTGTTAAGCATCAGCACGTCAGTTCTGACTCATAATGACCCTGTATAGGGTTTCCCAGGCGCAGCTGATGGGTTAGAACAGCCAACTTGTGGTCAGCAGTCCAGTGCTAATCCTACACCAGGATTCCCGTGCCTCCTATAGAATTCTCCAAAAAATCAGGGAAACATAAATTCCTTCTCAGCACCAAGGGCCCGTCTGGACACACGCCCAGGAGACCCATGCTGTCTACTCAAGGGGGCAGAAAGGAGCTTCCAGAATCTGGCTGTACCTCTAGCTCTTGAATCCCCAGCCACCAAGCCCCTGCTTCCACTAGGGAAGTCTGTGGTGGGCGGGAGTCCTGTGAGGGGTCTGGGACCCACCTTAGTGTGGTGAGGCAAATCCACGGCAGCCACTGTGTACCCATGGGATGACCTGCATTTGTCCCCAGAGCCACGCAGCCCTGCACCCCATGTTGTTGCCTCACTTGGTGGCCCCGGGTGCACAATCCCACAGATGCACAAGAGACTATGGATGTGGGGAACAGGTTAGGTGGTTTGTTGGGGTCTCCAGGGGCTAACTCTGGGCCCAAGAGGCTCTGGTCAGTCTGGAGGTCCTGTCCTCAGGGCAGGTAGTCCTGCCCTAGGGTTCTGGCTTCCTCCATTTTGGCACACTTGTCAGGGGATGGGTCCCCCAACTGCCAGCTAACCAGATTCCGAAGGTGAATCAGGTGGGTAAACTGAGGCCCAGTGGAAGGTACCTGGAAGGGGTGTGGTGGCCCTGCCCCTGTCCACATGGGCTGTGTCCACCCCACCTTGGGCTGACTGTGCCAGGGTCCCCAGGCCTGATGTGGACCCCACAAGAATCTCTGTAACAAAACGAGTCTTGGAAAGCACATACAGGTCAGATGTTCAGCATACAAGTGCCAAGAGTCACCCCCATTCCAGAGGGGCCAGAGGCCCAGAGAGGAGTGCTGCCCATCCAGGGCCACTCTGGGTCAGGGGCAGAGCTGTGACAGGAATCCTCAGCCTTCCCGTCCAGTCCCCCCACCCCAAGCTACTGCCTGTCCCTATCTCCTCCAGGCAGCCCGCTGGTGTGCTCCGGCCCGGGGCCTCGGAGGAAGCTCGGATAGAAAAAGAACTGAGATTAGCGAGTTTCCCCAGGAAGCCGGCTCCACCCCACCCGCCCCTGAGACCACATAACCCTGGGGGCTCCCAGCAGGGCCTGGCCCCCTCCCACCAGCCAGACAGCCCCCTCTCAAGGCCAAAACCCATGTCAAATCTGACTCTGGGGGAGCAGGGAGTCAGGTGTACTTGGGACCTCTGCTTGCTCATCTGTTAAACGGGTGGCTGCGGAGTGACTCAGAGTGCTTGGCACTGTCCTGGCTCTGCATTTCCGGGAGGATGAGCGGGGGCCCAGGCAGAACATGAGGTGCTATGCCAGCCCGAGGTGCCCGCCCAGGCTGCCAGGGACAAACAGGAAGCAGATGAAAATAACTCGGCAGGAAACCAGGCTGTCAGCAGCCACGTGGAGAAGGAACAAAACCACCATCCCAAGACCGTCCACTCCCAGTATCTCCTGTGTGGGCCTGCCTCTTGTCCCTTCCGAGTCTCTCTCCACTCAGACCTCAGCCCACTCCCCATCCCACTGTCTGATCCGCTCTGTGCTCCAACACCTGTGATGGCTCTCCACTGTCCTCATGATAATTCCTGCTTAGCATTCTCAGGGCTCCGGCCTCACACATTTCACACTCCAACTCCCCGTTCTATAAACACACTACTATTTCCTTGTTTCCGAGACTGTGCACATTTTGTCTCCTCTGCCTCAATGCCTTTCACTCCTAATCGCCTGCAAACTCCTATACACCCCTCAAAGCCTCAGCCGCAATGTCCTCTTCCACACAACTCTCCCTGCAAACCTCTTCTGAGACTCAAGTGCCTTTGGGTTCCACCGTAATCCCACAGGGTCTGGGGTGTCTGCTTTCCAACAGGCCTAAGGACTTGTGGGTCCTCACCTTCATGAAGTACATCCTCTTTGAGCTTCTCCAGGCCCTCAGCAAAGCGGGCCACATCAGCCAGCAGGTGGGGAATGTCTTCAGTGGCATCAGGGCAGGGCCCCTCGACATTGAGCTCGCTGGGACCAAAAGCTGTCAGTGGACTTCGGTGGCCCCGACTGAGTGTCCAGGAGCCGGGTCCAGATAGTGGGAAGCCAGCAGCACTGGCGTGGCGGCTCAGGCTGGTGGGCCGTTTGAGTGTGCCTGTGGCCTTGGCATTCGAGGCTGCAGCTGGCAGCTCCAGACTAGATCCACAAGGGGCTGCATCTGTACCATCTTTCCTGGGAAGCTCCTAGGGTGGAGAGGGGGAAGAATAGGGACAGCTAAGTGGGTGCGCTAGCCCGCACTGCCTCAGTTCCCCCAAAAGTGAAGTGGGGCTCTGCCGGGGTCAAAGGCCAGAGGTCACAGGGCTGAGATTTGATAAAGTGCCCCCCCCACACCTTGTTACCCAACATCCTCTTCCCCAGAGCTTTCACAAACAACGGTCTCTGCCTTAACCACAGCAGGGGGCGGGGCCTGCAGAGCTCGGGGAGGTGTCACCCCACTTCCTGATGGGGGTGGGGAGGGCCTGAGGCCCTTGGAGCCCCACTCAGGTCCCTGCAGCCCTATTTACTTCCCTGTGAAGGCAGTCTATAGGTTCCATCATGCTAGGTGTCCTATATACACCCAAGGCCTATGGCGCCCCCCAGGCCCTATAGACAATTCCCCAAGTTTCATAGACACACCCCACACCCTATAGACACTCCAGTCTCTAGACCCCCACAGGCCCCATAGACTTCCCAAGTCCCATAGACCTCTCCCAGACCCCCAAATTGCCATGGACCACCCCAGGTCCCACAGAAGCCCCTAAGTCTCACGGACTCTTCTGGTGAACCCCGTTATCCTGTTATCCTATAAACCTTCCATCCGATGGCGGTACCATAGACCTCTAACTTTCCCGTGATCCCAAGTCCCATCCCTAAACCCCTCCCCTGCCTAAGACCCCGGTCTTGTAGGGTCTCAAACTAGGGATACCCCACCCTGGCACCTGTTCCACCCACTCTCCAAGCCCTGGAGGGATGGCGGACACGGTGGTCATCCCAAAGGACTCCTACCATGAGCCGAACAGCCACGCTGTTCCCTCCTGGACTCTGCGGTTCCTGCAGTTCGGCCCGGTGGGGGCTGTAGCTGGCCCCCCATCGCAGACCCAGCATGGTGCGGCGGCAGACCCGTGTGCCCTGAGCTTGGGGCGCACCCTTCACCGCTCAGGTCCGGCCCGCCCCACCCCGCAGAGGCACCACTCACCCCCAAGATCGCTGGGCTGGGACTCCCCGCCCGGTTCTTCTTGGAGATGGAGGGGGTTTTCATAAGTTCTCGCTTCTTCCGGGAGAACATGGCGAGCCACGGTCTGGCAGCCGCTGCGGGGCGCAGGCCGGGGTCTCAGCGCGGCAGCTCCCAGAGCCGGCTGCCTCCGACCCACATTGTCGGCAGGCCACCCCCCACCCCAGCTGTCAGACCCACGTGATAAGCCCAGCTCTCCCCTTCCCCCTCACAGGAAAAAGGTTCCATAGGCCACAACACAGACCTGCTCCCCACCCTCCCAGGGCCGCCTCAGCCTGCTCGTCCGCAGAGTGGGCGCGAAGGTGGGGTTATGCCCCACCCACCCAGGCCCCGCCCCTCAAGGCCCGCCTCCAGTGTCTTCCTCCACTAGCCCTGCCTGAGCGCCCTCCCACCCACCCGTTTGACGCTGGGCAGGCACACAGGCAGCGCCAGATTCAAGGGGCACTGACCCCACTTGGACATACCCGGACAACACACCTCGGAGTACACAGACATCCGTGTGCCGTAAAACGCAAGGACAATTCGTAGACACAATCAGACTCCAGCCAGCCACAAAGTCATCTAACATCTGCTCAGCCCCACGTCCTTGGAGATGGCGCCTGCAGAACTCAGGTCATCTGCAGCTCACCTGTCCTGAAGCCCCAGTCGGGTGCCCACCTAAAGCGATCATGGAATTCCAGACCTCGCTGGGCCAACACATACCCAGCAAGGAGATGAAGACCCCGGAAACGCGGCAGCGAGAAACTAAACGCACAGGTAAAGTTTTAACTTGGCTTAAAGTAAAATGAGCTCAGGACAGCCCTAACAGCTTATCTATCATTAAGATGAAACTGCTTCCCTTCACTCTCTGCCACGGTCAATTGTTCAATGTCGTCAAATCGTGCATTGTTGTTGTTGTTAAGTGCTGTCGAGTCGGTTCCGACCCATAGCGACCCTGTAGAGGGTTTCCGAGGAGCAGCTGGTGAGCTTGAACTACCGACCTTGCAGTTCAAACGGCTTTGCAGTCTGGCGCATTAACCCACAGCACCACACCAGGACTCCAAATCGTGCATTACTACTCCATAATTACTTTTTTAGAAAGGAATCATTTCTTCTTTTAATTGGTAGCTCATTTCCCTAACTACCTGCCATAGTCAATTACGATTCCATAGTTAATCTCTTTTTTTAGAGATTTATAATTTCTTCTTTTAACTGGTAGCTAATCTCCACTCCAAGGACTCTCCAGGAAAAAGAGAGAAATAGCTACATATTTCTTGTGAAGGCCACTGATAACCACTGTTGAGAAAAAGTCACTAGTGCCTGTTAGAGCCAACATGGCCAGAATGGTCAGTGAGGCTCGAGATAAACAAAGCAACAAAGAAGTTTCTGAAATTCCTCAGGCTCCTATCCTATGCCCACCTGAGATGACTACAAATAATGTCTCCTCCCCTTTTCCCTCAGAGAGCCTGCCTTCCTGTATGGTGGTGGTGGCTGTGTGTTGCTGAGTTGGTTCTGATTCATAGTCTCTCTGTAAAGGGTCTCTGGGCGGTAACCCTGTGTGATTAGATGGTCTCATCATTTTCCCCAGGAGTGGCTACTGGCAGTGCGGTTAGCGGTCCAATGTGTGAGCCGCAGTGTTACCAGAGCTGCTTGTCTTCCTGTATATCTATCTATGATCCACACTAAATGCTTTGCTCTGTGTTCTCAGCCCTCCTTCTGTCTATTGACTATACTGGTGGTGGTGGTATATACCGTGGAGTCGGTTCCTATTCATAGTGACCCCTTCATAGGGTTTCGGAGGCTGTAAATCTTTACAGTAGCAGAAAGCTTTATCTTTCTCCTGCAGAACTGCTAGTTTTGAACTGCTGACCTTGAGGTTAGCAGCCTAACTCCTTGTTGTTGTTGTTAAGTGCCATCGAGTCGGTTCCGACCCATAGCGACCCTGTACAGGGTTTCCGAGGGTGTAAATCTTTACGGGAGTAGAAAGCCTCATCTTTCTCCCGCGGAGCGGCTGGTAGTCTCGAACCGCAGACCTTAAGGTTCGCAGCCCGATTCGTAACCACTACGCTACCAGAGCCTAACTCCTAACCACTAGGTAATCAGAGCTCCTTATTGACTGCATTTGTTGTTATTAAGTTCCGACCCATAGTGACCCCGTATAGGGTTTCCAAGGAGCAGCTGGTGAGCTTGAACTGCCGACCTTGCAGTTCAAACGACTTTGCAGTTCAGTGCATTAGCCCACAGCGCCACCCCAGGACTCCATTGACTATATTAATGTTGTTGTTAAGTGCTGTTGAGTCAATTCCAACCATAGTGACCCTGTATAGGGTTTCTAAGGAACAGCTGGTGAACTTGAACCACTGATTTTGCCGTTCAAACGACTTTACAGTCTGACCCGTTAGCCCACAGCACCATACCAGGACTCCATTGTTGTTGTTGTTAGGTGCCATCGAGTCAGTAATGACCCATAGCGACCTTATGCACAGCAGAATGAAACACTGCCCGATCCTGGGCCAACCTCACTACTGTTGTCACGCTTGAGTCCATCGATGCTGCCACTTGGCCAAACCATCTTGCTGGGGGTCTTCCTCTTTTTCTCTGACCCTCCACCTTACCAAACATCATATCATTCTCCAGTGAATGGTCCCTCCTGACAATATGTCCGAAGTATGAGAGACAAGGTTTGGCCATCAGATAGTTGTTAGATGCCATCAAGTCCATTTTAGTGGCAGGTAACCAAGAACTGGTTACAACAGGAGCCCACCCCTGCAGCTATCATGCCACCCTCCTGCTCCTTGGGCACCCACAGTGTGCACGGGTTTCCAACCCCTATCACCTTCCTCCTCTTGGACACTCCAGTCTGATGTCTCTTCCCTTGAAGAGTCCCACCCCCAAGGCAGAAACCGCCCCCCCTTCCCAACCATCACTGACCTCGGTGCCAGGGCCACAGAACACACAGACTGTGGTCACTATGCCAGTCCCTGCTCCCAAGGCCCAGGTCCAACAGCCCAGGAGTCCTTTAGTGACCCGGGGGTGGGGTGGGGGGGGCTCCTCTTCTCTGTGCTCTGGACTCTGCCACCAGGCTCCCTGGCAGCTAGACCTTCCCGGGCCTTGACCTCTTCCTTCCACAACCGTGGCACTCTCAGGAACTGCCGAAAAGCACCAGGCTCACATGGGTACCCACGGGCGTACAGCCTGGACCAGGGTCTGGGTTAGGACCCATGTGTATGGGAGACATGTCCAGTCCCAGCTGGGGGCCAGTCGGCTCATATCTGTACCCTGACCAGCACCTCTGCATCCACAAACACCCAGGTCCACACTAGGTGTGCACAGGTGTGTACAGACACATCTCCTGGCGTGAAGACATACATGCACACGATTGCAACACCAAACTGCCCTTTATTGCCCTTCCCCCGGCATGGATCATAGCGCCAAGCCCTCTAGTTGTCCCCCCAGTGGGATGAGGCTCAGAGTACAGTCTCCGCAGCACTGGGGTCCTCCCGAAAACAGCTGATGCGTTTGGAGGTGCGAGGTCCACCCATAAGCTTGCCTCCTTCTATAAAGCGTCCTCTTCGTCCTCCTCCTTCCCTTGGTCTTTGGAGAAGTACAGAAATACCTGGCAGGTGGGCGTCGGAAGGGGCGGGAGAGATGGTCAGCCCACGGACCGGGTGCCCAGAGTCCCAACCCCACTCCCTCCCCAAGCCACAGTCACCTCCTCCAGCGTGGTCTGGCTCACGGAAAAGTCTTCCACGCTGTGCTCCTTGCCGTGTGCCGCCAGCTCACCAAAGACGTGAGCTAGGGTGCAAAGCCCACCCGGTAGCAACTGGAAACGCAGAAGCCCACCGTGCGCCTCCCGCAGCTCAGCCCCTGGGAAGGCGGCCGCCACAAACTGGGTCGCCGGCTCCGGCCGCATCGCCGGCACCCGTAAGATTAGTGTGTGGCCAGCCCCGAACCTGGGGACAGTGAGACGGGGCTGTTGGGCTTGCCCTTAGCCCATTTCATAACCTGGCCTCACTCCGGACACCTAACACACACACAGGGACCCGCTTCCATCCCACCGCCCCATCCCCAGCTAAGGTCCCGCCCACACCTCTCCTGACTCCACCTCCAGTCACAGCCATAAAAACCTTAACATCAACACTTCAAGTTTATCCCTAAAATCTCTCCTTTAAACCTGCTCACTTCATCAAGGCCCCCGCCCCCGCCTTCACGCCTCCCGGTGTCTGAGGCCCCGCCCACCCCTCCTTCACTCCTCCCCGTATCTGAGGCCCCGCCCACCCACCTGCCCTTGAGGTGCTGCGCACTGCCCAGACAGCGGAAGCGCCCGTTTGTCATGATGGCCAGGCGCGTGCAGAGAGCCTCACACTCCTCCATGCTGCAGGAATCAGGTGCTTCGCTAAGGTGTTCGTGTTCCGGATCCCGCGCGGCCTGCCCCTCCTCCCTCCCTGAAACCCACACCTCTGCACCTGGCATGCGCCCGCGGGTGGGAACGGGTATCTCCCTCCACACCAATCAGGTGTGCCTTTGGGGGCTTGGCCTGAGCCCTCCCTCAGAGCCTAGAGCAGACCGGCCTGGGGACCACCTGTGTGAAGTGAGCACCACGGAGCGGCCCTCGCGCACCACGGACAGGAGGCTGTTCCAAAGGAAGCGCCGCGCCCTGGGATCCATTCCCGTGGTTGGCTCATCCTGGGAAAGCCGACACCCATAAGCCTGGTTCCATTCAGGACCTGACCCACCCCCGTTCCCACGTACCAGAAAGATGACGGCTGGGTCCCCAACCAGTGCCACTGCGGTTGCCAACTTCCGTTTGTTGCCGCCACTGTAGGTGCCTGCAGGCCGATCGGCATAGAGCACAAGCCCCAGGCGAGCCAGGCCTGCACGCGCCGTCTATGGGCCGGGCCACAGGGAGTTGGAGACAGTCAAAAGAGTGGGAAGGTCCTGGGGCATAGGAACCAGGAGAGGGTAGTGGTAGGGCTGGGATAGGGGCGGGAGCTACCCAGCTCACCTGGGCTACCTGGGCCTCCGGGACACCACGCAGGCGCGCAAACAGCTCCAGATGCTCCCGGCCGGTCAGCAGTTCAAAGACAGCATCAGACTGCGGGCAGTAACCCATGTGGCGGTGCGCTGCAGCCGATGCCTGAGCCACACTGGAGGACAGAGGGTTCAAGGAACTGGCTAAAGACCCCAGAAATGCTGAGTACGGACATAGGGGTTCTCAGGACCCACCCAGTCCTATTTGGTGACCGGCAGGAGGTATCTCAAGGGCCCCCATTGAGTCCCCTCACCTGTGGCCAGCCAGCACAGCCTCGCCTCCGCTGGGCAGTGTGTCCCCAGTCATCATGCGAAATGTGGATGTTTTTCCTGCTCCGTTAACACCCAGCAACCCAAAGCACTGCAGAGACATACAGACGCCCTCGTTCCAGTACCTCCGATTCCCCATGGGGTGGGCAGTTCTGAGTTTCTGCTGTGAGAAGTGGGGGCCTTTGGGGTGTGTGTTGTTGTTGTTATGTGCTGTGGAGTCAGTTCTGACCCATAGCAACTCTGTAGAGGGTTTCTGAGGAGAGACTGGTGAGCTTGACCCGCCAACTTTGTGATTCAAACTGACTTTGCAATCCAGTGCATTAGCCCCCAGCGCCACACCAGGGCCTGTCACTCATTGTTGTTAAGTGCTGTCAAGGAGCAGCTAGTGAGTTTGAATCACTGACCTTGCGTTTCAAACAACTTTACAGTCCAGCACATTAGCCCACAGTGCCACACCAGGACTCCTTAATGAGGACCAATTTTATTGCCATACATTGTAATCAACTGTGACATTGAGTAGATCTCCAATAAAGGTCAAATATAGCAGGTGTTCAATAAACATAGAACATCAATGCTCAGTAAGTATGGGAAACAGGCATTAGATTTCTGAATGTTTTCTATGCATGATATTGTTGTTATTGGGTGCTATCGAGTTGGTACCGACTCATAGCAACCCTATGAGTGACCCTAAGGAGCTCTGGTAGCGTAGTGGTTACAAATCGGGCTGCGAACCTTAAGGTCAGCGGTTTAAAACTACCAGC